CAGCGCTGCCGGTGCTCGCGACCGCGCGCGCGGCTCTCGCGCTCCCTCCGCGGGGCTCCTCGCGGATTATGGTGCGGGGGAAGGCAGGAGGCTCCCGCTGGCGCCGCCGGGTCGCTACGCGCGCGTTTTGAGCGCGGCCGCGGGGTTTCTGCGAGCGCGGGCGCCTCCCCCTGCCCTGCGGCCCCCCTCCCTTGTTTTCCGTTAGGAATACGGGCGAGAAAATAAATGTATTCACTGGGTGTCGCAAGAGCAAAGGCTAAATAAGCAAAGGTAACGGCGGCAGCAAGGCGAAGAGAGAGACCCGCACCGTGTCCTGCTCCCCCGCGCCCAGACCTGCCCTCCTATTTATTGGTGAGATCTGCCTCCCTCCCTGTCCGTGGTGCGGGTGTTTAATCCCGGGAAAAGTGCAGCCCTCCAGCCATGGTGGTTTTCAATGGCTTGCTGAAGATCAAGATCTGCGAGGCGGTGAACCTGAAGCCCACGGCGTGGTCGCTGAGGCATGCGGTGGGTCCCAAGCCRCAGACCTTTTTGCTGGACCCCTACATAGCCCTCAACGTGGACGACTCACGCATCGGGCAGACCTCGACCAAGCAAAAGACCAACAGTCCCGCCTGGAATGATGAATTTGTCACCGACGTTTGCAACGGCAGGAAGATTGAGATGGCTGTTTTCCACGATGCCCCCATCGGGTATGATGATTTTGTAGCTAACTGCACTATACAGTTTGAGGACTTGCTGCAGAATGGGAGCCGCCACTTCGAGGACTGGGTAAGTGCCTGCGCTGCCTGTACCTGTATGTGCAGATGGTTTTCTGTGGCATTGTTTTGGATGCAACATCTGTATCGCAGAGCTGGGTTGCCAAGGGCATGTAATGGCTCTGAAGGCTTTCTGTTATTTTTGTGCTTTGTTACACTGAGATAGTCATGGTTACTGCATATCTAATGCATGTGATTTACAGACAAGTGAAGAAAGAGAAACACACCGAGCCTAGGTAATAAATGTATGATTACTGCTTCAACTTCTGAAATCATATTTCCTAAATGCAAGTCTAGTTATCTTAGTGTTCTTGAAGAGCTCCAGTCAAATGCATCCAAATACAGAGCATTGCTCCAAAACCCCGATCCAGCACCTAGACCGCGAGTTCTTCATTTCAGCATGAACACCCTTGCTCATGTTGTAGCCTGGCACGATGAGCCTTAAAAATACAGATCTGACCTCTGCTGTGAGACACTTTGGAGTCTTCATACCACCTGGAAGCCTGCTGCATCCGTAGGGATGCTCCTCCTTCCCACCAGATCATCTAGACCTTTATACGTGGACCTAGCGCAGTGTGTCAACTTACACTTGAAATTAATGAAAGGATCCTGGTGGATTTTGGCCCCAACCAGGCAAATGCTATTGCTTTTCTATACAGTACGTTTCACTGCTTCTGCTGCATCATAAAGATACAGATGCTAGCATGCCTCAGTGGGAGTGCAGAAAGGCTGGTAAAATCCTTGGTCTGACATCCTCTGGTACTATGATTTAACATCCAAAAAAAAAAAAAAAAAAAAGGAACAGGAAACATGGACATTTCACCATTCTACAGTTAGTTATAATGATATATTCTTGAAATAAGATAAAACAATAGGAGCTGTCTTCTGGTTTTGAACGTGCCCTGCTTGACCAGCCATCTGAAATGTGCACGCTCATCTTTTTATGCATTTATTTATTAAGGTCAAGGATCCTAGTCAGGGCAGGGCAGTATTTCTCTGGCAAATAGATGAAGAACCCAGGACCAAAATAAAAGCAGCAAGAGTTAACAGATTTGAGTTTCTTGCATTCTTTGGGTCTTCTTTACTTAATGCAGAGGTATAAATATTTGTCAGAATGATTAAGAGCTAAGTAACTTTTACTTTAAAACTTTTATCTTGACAACTATAAAAAATATGTAAGTTCTCCTACATATGTTACATTATGATAGCTGGGGGTCTTGATTGTTCTGATACTCCATAAAAGCCACACATTAGCAAGTTAGCATAATAAAATTGGGTGATAGGCAGAAAAAGTAGCAAAATCAGGAAAAGCCAAATGCAGCAGTACTGCAGATGTCTTTTACCTGGATTGAATCATAATCAAGTTTTGGGCCTTCTGGAATCAGTGGGTCAAGGATGTCTTCATAGATGCTTAGTGAAGGAATAATAGATTCATGTGCCTTTTTTGTTTATACTGCATGTTCCGAATTTGTGGCCAAATCTGGAAGGACCGTGCAGGTTACAGGTGCCAAGTGTGAATTTTGGTGAGCAGTTGTGCTAGGGAATGTTGTGGCTCTGATRATTAAGGTGGAATGAAAGATTCAGGCATCCTGCTTACCTATATAGTGGAGTTTAACAGGTCGGGTCCCAGTATAAACGTGACCCGGAGGGATCTAAATAACTGAATTAGGTAAAGGCTGTGTTTTATTGCATCAGGATCCATGGCAGTCCGGCCAGTGAGGGGTGGGAGGAGACGAGGGCGTAGCTAGAGTTGTTATCTGTTGATGTGGGAGAGTTGAGGCTGTGGCACTGCATCATAAAGATTGGTCCACCCAATATAATATGGCTTCTGAGGCATCATTTATCTCATTTTCATGTCCTAAGTCTTTGTGTTTTGGCTTGTGTTTGTGTATATGAAGTACTGTGTACTCCACCCTCCCTATAGTGCAGTTAGAATTTGTGGGGCCAGATATTTATAGGATTCTCTTTTAGCCTTTCCAAATATTCCTGTTTACTGAATGTGTTACAATAATTGTCATACTGAGTGTCTTTACTGGATTGCTAATAGAAACCCTCAGAGCACTGCCTCTTGGAGTATCACACAGTTTCTTCATCTGATTTCACTGGATTAATATAAATGAAGTGGCCATGACATCTCAATAGACCCTATAGCGAGAGAAATACCTTTATTGATTGCTTTGTCAGTGTCTGGAATCTATATTAAAACCTAGAGAAAAGAAAGCRTTTATGAAGTCCAGTAGTGCAAGGGTTTCACCTTCAAGTGAGATGCACGTGGCCTAAACCAACATTAGACTAAGATCTGCTGGCAGTTTCTTCTGTTTAATAAGAGGACTAATTCCTTCATTTTGCCCTTGGCATTTAAGGCAGGTATTTTTTTAGTGCTCTTTCCCAGCTTTATAACAAGCAAATTAAAAGGAGCAATCGCAGGAGCCCATTCTTCCTCACTGCCTCAGATATCAAATAAATGCAACCTAAGAAATACTTTTGGAGACTATAAAATATTTTTATGATGTTCTCAAGGTTTCCCTTTAAGGAGTTCTGAACTTTTCTTTCTTTTTTTTTTTTTCATACACGTTGTGTTCATACACAATGTAATTGAATTGTTGCCCCTTTTTACCTTCAGAATGATGCAACACTTCTTCCAGTAATGAACTGTCATTAGTTAAYTAGATTTGACAAAATGCTCATATGTTGAGAGCAGCTCTAGTCAATATATTAATAGCTTTTATGCATCCAGCCCATTATAATACTGTAAGTATTTTGGTGGAGAAATTTTCAATATTTACTTTACAATATCTGTACTAAGCTCAAGGTTATATTACTTATCCTGTAATATATTTCTAGATAGTTGTCAGAAGTCCAAAATGTAGAAAGTACTAACAAAGAAGTAATGTGGGTTTTTTTTTTTACCCTAAAAGAAGCTATTTATCCTTTTTGCTAGCTCACCTTCTTTATTTTTATTATTATTATTATTACCATTATTCTGCTAATCCTTGTATTTTTCTAGGAGTTGAGTTTTTTAGGAAAATACTGGCTATTTTTCTCATGTCAAGCCTGTGCTATATACTGATGCCATGGTTACAGTGGAAACACTAATGATAAACAAGTACTAAGCTTGAAATCATGATAGCGTCTATTGTATTTGCAAGAATAAGATAAATATGCCAAACCCTGATTCTTATTACCTACAGAGTATTCAGCAGTTATAAAAATGATTTTTCAACCTTATGATATATACACTCCCCAAACATAGAGAGATATTTTAAAGCTGGGGCCTAACACAGTGGTTCGGATTTTATTAGGTGGAACCTTTCAGAGAAAATATATACAATTACCAAAAAAATCAATATGAAAATATTTCTGAAATGCTATAGTGACAGTTAAAAAGATGGCTGCTTTTCCAGTGGTGAATCAACCCAGACACAGCACAGCTAAAGTGTCAGTTTTCTTAGTAATGACTGCACTGCAGTTTTAAATAGAGCTTTGCATTGGTGACGTTACAGGCCTCTCTATACCTAAATAAAATGTTACACAGAAATGGTGCAAAGAACATTCAAGAGGATGTTGGTGAGCTTATGTTCTGAAAAATGAAAGGCAGAGCAATAACCAACCTGACAATTATGATTGAAAAGAAACCTGATAATTTAACATGAAAGCGTTAGCTATTTTTTTTTCAGTTAGATGATTCATGTAGTAACGAAGTACGTGCGTCTTTCTCTAGTTTTCTTGCAAATAACATACGTAAATGTTGCAGGTGTGTTAGTAAAAGAGATACATTTTAACCAGTAGAATTAAACTCAGGAAGGAAATTTCATTTCAGGTTTGGCCTCGTGGCTCTACTCTCTGAATTAGAATGATCTACGTTTATGTGTTTGGATGGTTGGTAGCGTTTGGATGGGCTCTGTGTTCACGTCCACTTCCCAACCATGACAAGAAATGCAGTCAGGGTCACTGGACCTGTGCCAAAGGCTCCGTCTAAGGGTCTTAGCCAYTAGGCCTGGCAAAAAGACCTACTGAGTCGGCCTAGGAAATCCTTTTGCAGACTGAGTGGCAGAACTCACCAGGTCAGTCAGAGCATCACAACATTTAGCAAGAAAAGCCTCTATTTCCACTGAAAATATTTTAAAATGGTCTTTAGGTTTGTGAAACAATTATTTTTTATTAAGGTTAAAATCCTTAATGCTGTTTAGAAAAGAATTAAAATATAAGTTTTAGTAAGCTTTTCTTTGCTAGTCCTAAATATCTCTCATTTTTCTTTTCTTTTTCAGTGTTGATTCTTAAGATACAGATTTGAAAGACTGTTCTTTCAAAAACGTTCTTTCCTATTTCCATTTTTATCAGCGTGAAGTTAGTCATGCAAATGTGCCATCATTGCATACAACAAGTTAATTAAGAATTAATGTAGTATCTCTGAAAGAGGTCGATGACTAGTGGTGGAAAGGAGAATGTGGAAAACATACCCTCTTTGATTGAGTTACATGTTTTTGCATCATGCTTACAATGTGCCATTGAAATTTTTATATGAGAGAGACTGTGTTGGGTCTTTAATTTGTTAAATTCAGCGTAAAGTTAGGCACTTAGGGGGTGAAGGTCTGAATTTCATGGTGCCGACCTCTCGTAAGACAGATGTTTGACATAGGAAAAGGCATAGAAAGGTTTAGAAATAACAGCAATATGTCATACAGGAGAAAATCTGGAGACACTTTGGCACTGCCTTTTCCTTCTGAGGAACTGAGAAGTGGGCGCAATGATTTGCCCAAAGGCAAGAGCAGGCGCATGGCAAACTCTTCTGAGCCCTCGCCTGGTGAGCTGTCCATTTATTTAAGATCTGTGTCCTTCAGCTCCTCTGATCTGAATTAAGTGGAAAGGCTCTTTAAGTGCTTATCTGAGGTCTCCTGTTTGTTTTCCTTTAATAATCTTTTGCCTTTTCTGGTGAGCTGAAAYGACAGCTCCCCTCGGGCAGCAGGTGAGCTGCTCTGGTGGGTGGGCACGGAGCGTAATTSTGATCGGTTC